TTTGTGACCTGACAAGCAAAGTCAATGGGAAAGCCAGTTTCGCTTCACAACCCTATTACTAATTTACGTGTTACTAATTTAACAACTGCGGCGATTCACTTCACAACTATGGCAAGAAAGGTTGTAAAATGGAGTAAAACTCACTTAACAACTGTCTTGCTTAGTAGTAGAAATTTTTTGGGTTCAGTGGCAGTCAAAAAAAAAAGGACTACCCAACAAATCTCATAGCCTCCTTTTGTAAACAGAAAGAAAGTGAATCCACTTTCCAAACTGTGATTATAGAATTTCCCCACAACTTTTGTTTTCTAATCGAGCACAGGTTGTTTTTTTGAAAGACTTTGCTTCGGAACAGCATGTTACTTTCCAGGTGGGTCTTTCAGATTCTGTGGGGACACCATTTTTGCTCCCTTTCCTCCTCTACTTGAGGTCCTGTCCTGCTCCCCCAGGAAAAGGATCAGAGAGACCAGCGGCTGGGCGAACAGCTGTAAGGAAAACAGGCCCAGGTGTAGCTATGAGATGTCAGAAGCAGGAACCAGGCGGTACGTGTTCAGAGAGGCATGACGCTGAGAAGCAAAGAAAACAAACCGTCCCTGGTTTCCCTGGGGGGGGGGGGAAGGAAAGGCAAGATGGGGTGGGGTGAGGGGCTGAAGCCTCTTGTGCAAGACAGAAAGCAGAACCTGTAACAGAAAGCAGAACTTGCAAGAAGGGAGATCAATGAAAGGAATGGGGTGTCCTTAAGCACTGCAGTTCAGGACTTAGGAAATTCCTGCCTGTGCATGTATTTATTTAAATGAATAAACAAATATTTCCCAGATGTTTATGCAATAGAAGTGTAGACTTGCAGACAAACACACACACACACACACACACACACACACACACACACACACGTATCAGTAAACCTTGGTGAGTCATCACATTACAAAAAAGACGTTGAGATTTTGGAAAAAGTTCAGAGAAGAGCAACTAAGATGATTAAAGGCTTGGAGACAAAAACATATGAAGAACAGGAATTGGGTACGGTTAGTCTAGAGAAAAGAAGGTCTAGGGGGTGACATGATAGCAGTATTCCAATATTTGAGGGGCTGCCATAAAGAAGAGGGGGTGGACTTATTTTCCAAAGCACTAGAAGGCAGGACTGATTGAAACTACTCAAGGAGAGAAGCAACCTGGAATTAAGGAGAAACTTCCAAACAGTGAGAACAATTAACCAGTGGAATGGCTTGCCTTCAGAAGTTATGGGTGCTCCATCACTAGAGATTTTTAAGAAAAGACTGGACATCCACTGTATGAAATGGTATAGGGTCTCCTGCTTGTGCAGGGGGTTGGACTAGAAGACCTCCAAGGTCTCTTCCAGCTCTATTCTAATTGATTGAGAGAGTGAATGAGTGAGAGCTGGAAGTGTAGGCAATTCAGCCCAGCCTCTTCAGGACAGACTGAGGGATGATCCAATCACAATCAAGCTGGCTCAAGGTTTGGATTAGTAGAAGACAAAGAAAGGGGTTTACGGATAGCCCAAAGGCTCATTGTTCAAACGCATCAAATATTAGTTGATATATTAAAGTGGGAAAATGTAACTCGGAAGGAACTAAAATGGAAAACTCGGAAGGGGGCACATGGAGAATGGCAACTCATGTTGAGTTGCATCAAGAAACGTTTTCTCTGTAATTTAACTCTGCCTGATTGAGACTGTGAGGGATGATCCAAGGGATACTGGGCTGTAATTATGGAGAAAGGCGATCTTACACAACTGCAGATGCTGTCTCAATTCCCGTTAAATGCGAAAAAGAAAACGCCTTCCCAAAACTGTCTTAAAGATGGCATAAGGATGAATGAGGATTCCCCCCCCCTTTTTTTTTTGCTATAAATGTTTAGCTTTCCTTACAGGAGAAAGTTCATCAGGAGAAAGTTTAATACTTGGAGATTCTTGTTTTGAATTATAATTACAGTTAGTCCTCGACTTACAACCACAAATGGAACCGGAATTTCCATTGCTAAGCAAGGCAGTCAGTTATTCAGTGACTCTTGCCTGATTTTACAACCTTTCTTGCCACAGTTGTTAAGCAAATCACTGCAGTTGTTAAGTGAATCGCATGGTTGTTAAAGCAAACACAGCTTCCCCCATTGACTTTGCTTGTCAAAAGCACTGGAAGGTCACAAATGGAGCTCACACCACCCCAGAATGTTGCAACCATAGTAAATAACGCCAGTTGTCAAGTGCCTGAATTTTATTTAATGACCATGGAATGTTCTGATGGTCGTAAGTGCAAGGACCCATTGTAAGTCACTTTTTTCCATGATGTTGTAATTTCAAAGAATCATTAAACAAATGGTTATAAGTCAAGGACTACCTTCATTCTTGCCTTGTAGGATTACCATTATTACCTTACCAAATCTGGACTGCAAACATATATTCCACTAGATGGCAGCAAAGTCAGTAATTGAAGACCATTTGCTGACATCTAATGGTGGTCCATGGATTTGTAGCCCTGATTTGATTTGATTTGATTTGTCCAAATTAGCTAACTTTGAGAAAGGCTAGATGTCAGAGATGGACACCTATGGCATATTTGCTTCTTTTCAGGACATTTTTTTTTTTAAAAATCACCAGCACAGTGAATTTTGATGTAAAGTGCCCATGCAGGTATGAAGTGAGGTTCTTTTAATAATCTGTGTTTTACTCTGGAATTTTCTGAATTAGATCTCAGTTTGTAGTATTAAGGGGCAGACAATAATTTAAAGCAGGAAGACAAGATACCAGATTCAGTACTTTGGAATACTTGCAGAAGTTTCCTTGACTCAGTTCAATCAATATTTACAACTTCAATAACTTTGTATTTCAGCTCCCAGAATTCCCCAGCCAGTATGCTGGGAAATAGTTTTGATTTTTGCTTAGCACATTGTTCCTTTGGTTTAAGTTTTGTGTATTGTGTTCTCCATTAAGTTGTTTAAGGATACAGGCACCACTACTGTATTGACCTATAAACTGCAGGCCAAGTAAACAAAGCAATCTCGATTACAACAAAGCTAGTTTGTGGTGAACCTGGCCAAATGAAATTGTGTCCTTACACATATGTAGCCTATACAATTATTTGGTTCATCAGCTGTTAACTAGCCTGGGAAGTGGAACCTCCACGTTCAGATGCAATACAGGTAGTCATCGACTTCAAACATTTCATTTAGCGACTGTTATGTCCTGGGCCAGCAGGCACAGGCTGCAGCGATTGGCCCGGGCAGACCATGCGGATGCCCGGGACAAGAAAGGCTGTTTCCAGCCTTTGCAATGATTGGCCAGCAAGGTATTATGCAGGGGGACTATAAAAGGGGGCTGCACCATTTTAAAACCTGTTCTGTTGGTGTTGCAATAAAGGAGACTATTGGAACTCTTTCGTCTCAATGCTTTTCCTAATACAGAACAGCGACTGTTCAAATTTACAATAGCGCTGAAAAAAGAGACTTATGACAGTTTTTCACTTATAACCGTTGCAGCTTTCCCATGGTCATGTGATCAAAATTCAGATGCTTGGCAACCTACTTGTATTTATGATGGTTGCAGCTTCCTGGGGTCATGTGATCCCCTTTTGCAACCATCTGTCAAGCAAAGTCAATAAGGAAGCCAGATTCACTTAACAACCATGTTACTAATGACTGCAGTAATTCACTTAACAACTGTGGCAAGAAAAATCGGGAAATGGGGCAAAACTCACTTAACGAATGTCTCACTTTGCAATAGAAATTTTGAGCTCAATTGTAGCTGTAAGTCGAGGACTATCTGTATACCTTCATATTTTATAACAGGAACGAAGTATTTTCTCCTTTCCCATGCTTTGCTCCGGGGGGGGGCTTCCTTAAAATTCCTGCTTATCCGCCATGACCCCTTCGTATAATCGCTACGTTCTTGTTGCAGACGTGAATTAGTGCATACTCGCCGGCGGGCACGCATCCTCTCTCCAGAATGAGTGAGGGTAGATTCTCGTGACTCTTGTGTAAAGGGAAGGGAGCCTGAGGGGCCCGGGGGTGGGGGAGGAAGGCGAGGAGGCCTTTGCATTTGGAGTTAATACAAGGTGTGTGTGCGAGGGGGGTGAAATTTGCACGGTGTAAATTGGCCCTTCGCAGTCTTCAAAGGCCGGGTGGGAGGAAATGCGCGGTCTTCGCAGCCCTGAAGGCAGGACCATCCACTAATTGCAAGGGAGCGTTGGTTTTACGTGCCCGCCCGCACACGCACAGGCCCGTTTGTGTTTACAGAGGGGAAGCTGCTTCGCACGGCGCGCTGAACCCGCAGGGAAGCTCCCTCCAGGCCGTGCCTCTGCCACTTTTACAGTTCAGGGTTTCGTACGAATTCAGGAACGGGATTGTTGAGTAAACCCCCATTGCGTTAAGCACGTCCAGCATTTTCGTGCGAAAGCGCCCAGAGAAAAGACTTTTGCCTCTCGTCTTAAAGTCAGCCTTGTGATCCCCCTGGAAGAAGCTCGTGCTGGACGGCTGTCTTTGCAGAAAAAGGAAATTAGGAAAAATGATAGTCTCGTTTGTCCTTGGTATATTCTGAACGCGTGTAAGACGCCCGTTCTGCTTCAAATAATAAATTATTCCGACGGAAATCAAAGCTGCCCCTTTCAGATAAAACAATATATACTGTAATGGGACATTAGTTTTCTTTGCAAAAGGCCAATCCATGCTAAATAGGACCGGGCTTTGCCTCTTGGCGCAAATCCCAACCAAGCGTTGGCAATTCCACAAGCCGCGGCAAAACGTTCCAGGGCTTTATGCGTCGTGTGAAGGCGGCAGAGACGCTACACGTGAACAGACCGCGAAAGCAGGGTGCGTGTGTAAAGGAAGGGAGCGTGTTTATCTTGGCAAACAAATTGTAACAGTTTCTCGTTGTCTCCCACCCCCTTTTTCCCCCTTCCCTTTCTGCAGAAAAAGGCGGTAGTTATGACAAGGACAGAAACGCTCTACACATGCTCGAGAACTACTCTATACACCCCGCTTATTTGAGTGAACGGGAAAGTCGGGCAATCAAAGAAACGCTCTGCGCCTGCTTGAAAGTTAATCGGCTTTATTTGACGCGACTCTCTTTCTCTGCGCTGGGGGAGATGCGCAGGCTGGGGCGAAGCCACTCTGCACATGCTCGGAAGTCCTTTGTCTCTGGCTGGCTTTTCTCCCGGAGGAGGAGAAGCGGAGGCGTTGCACGGGTTCCGCGGTCGGCTCCGCCTCGCTGCCTGGCTTGGCTGAATAGGCGAGCGGCGGCTCAGCTGATGCAAGCGGCCCTCCCCGCCGCTGCCTATATAAGCCGAGCTCGAGGCGCCCCCGCCGCGGAACCTCCCTTTCCGTGTCTTCGAGCCGCCAGAGGCGGGCTGGGTGCCTTTCCATCAGCAGTGGCGCCAGCGCTGCGGGGCCCGAGCTCGGTAGGCAAGCCGGACGGGGGGGGGTGAGGCGGGCGCGAAGGGGGGCGAGAGACGGCTGGCTAAAATTTTGCATCTGCCGACCTCATTCTTGCAACGCTGCCCTGGTTTTTGCAAAAGCAACTGCGCGGCTTTCCTTTAAAAAAAAAAAAAGCTGCATTCCGAAGATATTCTTGCACGGAAATGGGGGAGGGCGAGACGGCGAGAATGGGTTCCCCCCCCTTCCAAAAAAAAAAAAAAAACCTCAACTCAACCTCCCGCTCTCGCAACTCTTCCCCCCTCCTTTTATGCGGTTGCAAATTTCGTAGCGTTGCAAAGAAATAAAAAGAACTGGATTTCTCGGTGCGTTTGAGTCCTGCAAGGGAGCTTGCTGTGTGGAATGGAGGCAGGCTGGGGAAACAGCTTCGTGCCCCCTCCCCGATTATTTAGCACTGAGGAGGTTCTCTCCACTACCACCCCCCATCATTTCCTGGGGGAATAATGAAGGTCTTTGCAAAGGACGGGGCTGGAGGCTCCCTTGCTTTCTGTCTCGCATCCCATCTTCTTAGGCGAAATTCATAGCTAGAGATTGATTTTCTTACGAGCCTGAGATTTGGGGGAGCGTAAGTGGCCCCCCCACCTCTAATTCTCGATATCATGCCGGGTATTCCCCCCTTTCACTTAAGTATATAATAGAAAATGAGAGTGATCACGCCCCCTTTCATCTACGGTAGGATGTATGCGCGGAGGAAGAGATGGGGGAGAATACTTGGATTTAAAAAAAAATGCATTATTGCAAAAAAGCCCACTCCCAATGGAAATCGGGGATTATGCGTCTACCGCCAAGAGATCGCCCTATTGCTGATGCAGAAGGGGGGGGGGTTGGAGCAGTTGGTTTGGTTTTCTAGACTTGAGACTACCCCTCCCTCCGAAAATGTACGGATTTCTCCCTTTCCTGATTATGCTACATATGTGTCCGTATGTACTCCTATATAGGCTTTGGGATATTTGTCTTTTTTTAAAAAAAAGTAATTATTTTACAAAATCGGTGGATGTATTTTCCGACGGTCATTTTGTAAATTAAAAAAGAGGTGTGTATATTGTACACGCCCCCTTCTTTTAGGATGACCCTCTCTTCCAGCCCCTGCCGTCTAAATTTGCTCGAATAATACCGTACATAACACTGCAGATCTACTAAAAAGGAACCCAGAAAAATATATCTCCCATTGGGTGCATTGCTACACAAAGGAATACAAACCTACTGCAATCTACTCACACCCCCTTCCATCTACTTTCCTCTGTTAAAAAAAAAAAAAGGTCCCTGGGTCCAACAAATCAGAGGAAAATTGTTTTTGAGGTGGGGGATTTGAATGCCTCCCATTATGTTGTGAAGAATATATTTTCAGTATGTTGCCCCCTAAAAGGTCATTTTAAAAGGATGGTTTTTTTGCAGAGTAAAGTGCCTCTTAGCTATGCACATTAGGAAACATCTGTGTAGCTTCCATTGTAACTCTCCCCCATAAAAAAGAGCAGTGTGTGTGTCTGTGTGTTTGTTGGGGGGGAGGGCAGAATTTACTTTCTTGGAGGGAAGAAATCATTTTTTTCTGGGTCTCTTTCTAGCTCTTCTTTGTCCTCTGTGTGTTTATAGACTTGATATGTTTCACTGTCATGTTTTGGTTAGCCTGATCATTTTTTTAGCAGCTGTTTAATCCAGCCAAAAATTGTTCTATGAATCCTGACATTTGTCTTATTGTTTTTCCCCTACTCTCTTCCAGGGTCTTTTTCAACCAATCGGGACAAGCTTCATCCAAATTTTTTTTCTCTCTCCTCCCTTCCTTGTTACTTTTACTATTTTTCTCCCATTCTCTTATTTGGAATATTCCTGCATTTTTAAAATCTCAAGATGGTGCAGAAGAAAACTGAGCTTAAAGGCTTCCATCGTTCTTTTAAGGTACAGTTGTGACTCTTTCATTTTTTTAAAAAAAAACATATAAAATCAGATGAATTCCTTTTGTTTTAAATCTTTGCTACTTTGCTTTTGGTTGTAAAAATGACCCATGGGGTTTAAGTTTCTCTCTAGCAAATGGCAGCCGAGTTCTGAATTGCAGGGAGAGAAAGGCTGTTGTCAATAAAAGAGGAAGTGGGGAAGAAACTACACTTTGGTTGGTTGTGCTTGCAAGTTTCTGAGTCACACCAAAGAGTTAATCTCTGAAGAAGTGAGGTTTCTGTCCCTTGGGAATACATAATAACTTCCTAAAATATTTACAACAGGTAGAAGTTTACAGGTGTTTCTGCAAAATGTTGCAAGTGATCCGTTTCTCCAAATTTCTTGATGTTCTCCATCCTGTTGTAGCATATTTTGTAACTACTGAATAGGCTCTGTTTCCATTGGGACATTGTAATTTTTTGTAAAATACATTTAATGGACACCTTCCCTGTTCAGTGTTGTTGGTACTCAAGGTTTCTTGGTTTTGTAGAAAGGAGTTTTTGTTTTGTCACTTCATATTTCAAGTGGTACTGAATTTGGGAATGTGGCACTTAGATTCCTAGGGAAGAAATGGAACGGTCAGGGTTCCCAAATACAGATAGTCCTTGACTTATGACCACAACTGAGCCCCAGATTTATGTTGCTAATTTGTTAAGTGAGTTTTGCCCTATTTTACAACTTTTCTTGCCACAGTTAAGTGAATCACTGCAGTTGTTAAGTTGGTAACAGTAGTTAAGTGAATCTGGCTTCCCCATTGACTTTGCTTGTCAGAAGGTTGCAAAAGTGGATCACATGAACCTGGAACACTGCAGCCTTTGTAAATAGGAATCAGTTGCCAAGCATCTGAATTTTGATCATGTGACCATGGGGATGCTGGAAGGGTCATAAGTGAAAAATGATCATAAATCATTTTTTTCAGTGCTGTTGTAACTTTGAACAGTCACTAAATGAACTGTTGTAAGTCAAGGACTACCTATAGTCTCTGTGTTACATGCTCATTGTAAAATCAGATCATGGATATGAATCATTAAATCCCTATTACACCACCATTTACCTTCTTACCTATTCTTGTTCTTGCCAATACTTCGCAAATAACTGGTGCGAAAAATGATACAGTATATTATTTACATAGCACAATCTATCCCATATTTCTCAATCTTGGCAGCTTAAAGATTTGTGAACCTGGACTCCCATGTTGGCTGGGGAATTCTGAGAGTTGAAATCCATACATTTTCAAACTGCCAATATTCAAAAATACAGGTCTATCCCAATTTGTAATCTTCCAATGCTATCTTAGACATTGATGTTCAGAATTTCCTGTGGTCAGGTTTGGTATATATCAAATGATTGTTGCAGTTTAGAATGGCACTGTTGTTTAAGAACATTAGACTGATTCCAATTTGCTTAGCCATGTATAAGACAAGTTCTGTGCTATGAATCTTGGTTTCCAAACCCCAGTTCAATTTGCTGTATCAAAAGCTGTTACTTTGTGAATCCAGTGAGCCCTGACTTCCAAGTATATATTTTATTTTAATAAGAAATAAGTTTGTGGGGAGGGGCAGGAATAGAGAAAGTTAAGGAACAACAATGTTGAGAAAGCAAATGGCAGATTTTAAAGCAAAATACAATAAAGGCTTCTGTAGGTGTTGAATTAGAAGAAGAAAAACGTATGTTTGGGACATTGCAGGTTGGATTCACACATTCAGCTAAGACATGGTGTGGTTTGTTTATCGGTAATTATGCTGTTGTGTTACCAACACAGCGAGCTTTGTAAACCCTGGTGTGTGGGTTAATAAATGTGATTTTAGCCATGTGTACTTAGTACAGTGCAGTTAATCAACTCTGGCTTAATTTGCCACATGAACAGTTACAGTACAATGTTTATAACATGTGCTCTCAACATGATGTGTGTTTAGAGATTATAATTTTGGCTGCAAAATCAGTTCAATCCCATAGCAGTGGGTTTCAGTGTGCCTTTTCTGGACTCAAGAAAGAGGTAAGGGACTCTTTGTAAAATGAATCAAAAATTGGGAGTTTGAACAATTGCAAATTATCCAAGCCAGGATTTTAAAGAGAACGCTTGACTAAGTGATTAACTCTAAGTGTGATTTGCAGTTTTAGCCCTAATGTGGCTATTGCAACCTCTGACTTTGTAGAGACCCAAGAGGCATGTTTGTAATGCCAGCAAGCTCACCTGTTTTTTTAAAAAATTATAATTTGCAATTGTTCAAACTCCAATTTTTGATTCATTTTACAAAGAGTCCCTTATCTCTCTTTCTTCATTGGAGTAACTGTGGTTTGAAATTCTGTTTGCGCCCCCCCCCCAAAATGTAAAAATAAGCTTCTAGTTCTTTTGAGTGATGTAAAGAAAGCTTATTGCTGACATGTCCAAACATGCCTGAAGATTTGGGGATATAGTAATGCTATGTGGGTAGCTGAAAAACACCAATAGGGTTTGAAGAATGCAGATTGAAGGCCCCTTCTTGTGGGCCTACGAAAGAGGGGTATGTCTAGCAAAATAAGTCAGTAAAGTAATGGAAGCCTTGTGTGAAAATAATTAGCATTTATTCATTTATTCTGTGCTCCTATACTGCCAGGTAGAAATTCAAGTTATTTATAGGTGTGATGTGCATAGTTTTGTGCCTGGTGGCCTTTGGAGAACAGAAATTGCAACAGTGCAGTTGTGGGCTTGCCGGCCTGTCTCTTCCAATTTGCTGCTAGCTGCCTTGTTCCCATTGTGCAGGTGGAGTAGCTGAGCCTGAGAGAGCCTCCCAGCCAGTCCTGCTTATGAATTCTACCCTGCAGGGATGACAGTCAGCACTCTGCTCAAAGCACAGGGTTCAGCCTATGAGGAATTCTCCTCTTTCCTGTCAGTCCATGTTCATCTTTTGCTGGCTGATGGCTGCTCCTAATTATGGGATGTTGGCAGCATGTGCAGGCTGGCACTGTTGGGCACTGATATAGGGCAGTTCAGCCGGTCTTTACTTTTTAATAGAAGCTTCTGTGGCTTAAGTTGGGTTTGCCCTCCTTGAAAGCTGGTTAATTGCTTGTCTTCATCACACAAGCTGAACTAGAAGGTGCATAATTGTACTTGGAATGCCTTTTCTCTTTGTATCACTGAGTGTTGTATCTTAAGATTTATGATTATTGTATTTTATGATCATGATTTATCACTTGTTGCTTGTAGGTACACTGAGAGCTTATGCACCTGAGACAAATTCCTTGTGAGTCCAGTCACACTTGGCCAATAAAGAATTCTATTCTGTTCTATTCTATGGGATATTTGTTTGCAAGCTGGCACACAGGTTAAAATAGCTCCCACCTGTGGGTTTTTTTATGTGTGTGATTTCAATATCAGGTTGCTAGGCCTGATGGGGCACTTCTGAACAATAGATGACTGTCAAGAATTGAGCATGGAGGTAGCCTTTGAAATTTGCACAAACCTTCCTAGAGTCCAGATAATGCTCCTTTGATTGTAGGCATGTAGTAACAGACCATCCTGGTTTACTGTATGTACTATGCAATATATACAGTATACTGGTTTACTATTATAACTGTAGTTGGAGGATATAGAGAGATTTAATTCTATTTGAGGATTGTCATGTGACAATAGGATAAGTCACCCTTCATCCCAGGTTCTCCAAGTTCTCCAAATGATTTTTGCAGTGTAACTACTAGTGCTGGTTTTATGGATACTCAGACAACCTGCTTCCTCTTAGACCAGAATTTTTCAACCTTGACAACTTTAAGATGCGTGGACTTCAATTCCCAGAATTCGGGCCAGGGAATTCTGAGAGTTGAAGTCCACACATGTTAAAAATTGCTAAGATGGACAAATCCTGTCTTAGATTAAGGTTTCATTGAATAGGCCATTTTAGATTTTGTTGGTACTTATTAAGTAATTAAGCAGTTATGCTCTGGCATTAAGTTTGAAGATCCTAGTTTAGCTTAAACTCCCGCTAGTTAGGGTTCAAACTCCCTTGCTTAGGGAGGGCTTGTGAATTTTGACAAGAAATGCTCTCTTTTGTAGTTTATTCCATGAAGACTGCCTTTTACTCTTGCAACTTTGTGAGGTAGTCTACAGAGAGATTTGAGAGACAGGGAACAGTTAAAGTGAACTAAGTTTGTTGGGTCCTAGCTAAGCGTGTAGTACAGTGGTTCTCAACCTTTTTAATGCCGCGACCCCCACCGGTCGTAAGTTGAGGACTACTCAACCGGTCGTAAGTCGAGGACTACTCAACTGGTGCAGCACCGTTTGCAGAATGGGACTTTTGGCGGGCTCAGCAGGGTAGAGACAGCCTGGACAATTCCTATTGGCTTTTGAAAGCCAATAGAATTAGACTCTATTCAAGAGAGTCTTATTCTATTGATTTTCAGAAGCCAATAGAATAAAAGGGAGTAGCACAGCTAAGGAAAAGGGGGGGGGGGAAATGGCGGACTGCGTTGTTTGGCAACCCTTGTGAAATGGTTGTTCGACCCCAAATGAGGTCCCGACCCATAGGTTGAGAACCACTGATGTAGTAAAACTCAGCTGCTGTGGCTTTTTCAGCCAGTAGAAACCATGCTGACCTAGCCAGGGCTTACGTAAGGTTGACGTCCTGGGAATATTATAGTTGAATGAGAATTTGTCATCCTTGCTCCCAGTCAAAATGAGAAAGTAACACACTCCAGACCTGAATTCAAATACATTTCCCCCTCTTTTGGTCCATGGCCTTTCAGCAAATAAATAAATAGATAATATAGGACACTAATACTCCTGTTAAAGGAAACAATGTTGTCTTTGTCATTTCACCCTTGAGATCCAGGTTCAAACCCTTTGCATTATTTTAAGGTTTCAATCAATTTTAGCCTATCTAGCAAGATAATAAAAAGGGGCAGGTGTTGCAGAGTTAACTATAATGTCTAGGAAAAAGGGTACAATGAATATTTATTTTCATATCCCCAGTTAGTCCACAAAAAGAGCA